CACAAAGTATTGAATATGCTATGGACTTTGCAAGGAAGGTAGTTATTGTTGCTTCCATTTATCTGGTCATTAATCAATTGAWGGTGGAACCCAACTAAAATGTAAACCCAATGTTTTGGCAGAAATGCTGCATCAATATCCCTCGATGTTTAGTATCTTTTATACAGTACTTTGATTTTTCTAAATTTCAGGGTTAGTTGAACGATTTCACATAACCGGATAAAAAATGCTAATGAGGATCAATTTATGCTAATACACATTACACGATTTTACACGTGGAACAACGAGGMTATTGATGAASGCTTTACTTATTTGACGAACAGATATGTTTTAAATAACAATTAAATCGTAACAAACATTCAAAATCACACTCAAGATTTTTCTTCACTGCATTCTTTCTCCTCTCTTTAGGCGTCTTCTTGCCTGCATATTTCATTTCTAACTCTTGTTTTGAATTATCTTCTGGTTCTGGTAGTTCTGTCACAATTGATTTGCACTGTGCTGTGGTGTGTACTGGATCAGATATGGTCTTTTTGATTATCCCTTTCAGTCTCGTGATTAATTGCTCATTACCACTCTTAACGTAAAACTATGGAACAACTCGATCTGGGAGGCCAGTATTGACTATCGTTGCCTTGCACATCGCAACAACGCTATCTCAGTCATTCCCCTTGCACATTTGGTAGCATTTCTAAGACAATTGAACTTGCGCTCAAGCTTGCTGACGTTAATTCTCTTTAGCTTTAACAAAACAAGAACATAAGCAGCCAAAATTAGACAAATACAAAATTTGTTTGCTTTTACAAACATTCCAACGTTCACACCAATTCAGTTTCATAAGCATAGCCTTTTTTTGATCAATGTATTAGCTAAGATTTATCATCTCTTTTTTCTATTTTGTGTATTTTCTATTTTGCTTTCTATTTCTAAATTGAATTAGTTTAAGCCTTCTTTTTTCAGAACAACGATGATCTCCAACATAAAGTAATTACACACGATTCCTTTGGCAAGGGATTCATTAAAGGCATCAAGGTTGGTTGTCATGATAATATGCAACTTTGATATGCAATCCTGCATTCACAGTTTTTTTAACTCTTTGACWACTGGGACTTGMATTGTATGAGAAAAATTGGGCATTTCAAATGTCCTCTCGACTCAGTGTTTGCCATTTCTGTGGAGAGAAGGCAGTAAAATTGTCCTCCAATATTGAAGTGAATGTACTTAATGTCATKAGCAATGATCCCTGCTCAAATTGTGAAGCAATATGAAAGTCATTGCCAAGATACCAATTTTTCATCTATGAGTAGAAGCAGGCCATGTATCAYATACTCATTGTGTCTTCAGCTTCTGTAAGGAAGTCTTTACAAGGGCGTCAGATGGAATGTCTTGGCATTTGAAGACCTGATAAAGTTRTATTCATTGAGTATTTTGTATTTGATGTTATGTTTATTAGTTTAATTTTGTTTTGTTGATTTTTCAGGTTAGCCCAGATGCTTTCATTCAGCTTGCCTTACAAATAGCGTATTACAAGGACAATGGCAAACATCCATTAACATATGAGGCATCAATGACTCGTTTATATCTGCAGGTAACAACTCTTGTTATATACCAAAATTTGAATGCTATCTTCCTTGAGGGTTGCATATTAGGTTCATCAAATGCAATGTTGACATGGAAGCGACAATTTTATATTATATTTTGGGTCTCAGTCCACGAAATTAGGGTGAATAWTTTGTGACACAAATTCAAGGATCAGAGGTCATACTCTCTTTTAAATGCTTTTTCCTTCAAACTTAAAGGCAACTTTTTCTAATTTTGGTAATTGACAATAGCGAGAATTCGAAGAAAAAAAATACCTTTGTGGGTTGCACGTTAGGTTCGGACAGATAGATACTTTATTGAAAATACATGGYAGCTATAGGCTAAATTTTGTACAATCAAAAGCTAAGTAATGTACAGAAATAATTATATTGTGGGTACGATGAGATCCAAGGATAGGCAGTTTTTTTAGTTTTTGCT